ATATATAATATATATACATATATAACATATATACATATATAATGTATATACATATATAATATATGTACATGTATATATACATATATAATATATATGCATATATTATATATATGCATACATATATATATACACATGTATTATGTATGTACATATATATATATATATACGGACGGGTCGCGACAGTGCGGGTTTGTGCAACTGTTGCAGCACAAGATGCTTAAAAAGGGGATTATGAACTCAGTGTTTCTAGTCCACTTTGTTAGGCTAAAAAAGAACGGAAGCAAACGCGAAAGTAGAAAAGCATATTCTGGGTGTTGTTGCTGCTGATGAGCGTTAAAAGGTGATTGTGAAAGGAGCAGTTGAGCTTTAGAAATCCGTTCCCTTGAAATTATTTCTATTAGCAGGACCGTTTTTAGGAGGCGATCTGTGGCCGAGATCTCTTTGATGCCAAAAGACTCCATCTTGTTTGTCCCATCAGTGTCACTAATCCAAGATAATTTTTTTTTCCATTCAAAAAATTTAGTACTTTCTTAACCCATCACTGTTATACAAATCATGAAGTGGACGTCAACCGCAGTGATTGGAGGCGTTTGAAAACAGGTTCCAGGATGGGAGCGTGTACGATGAGAAATGCACCCGCTTCCCCTACCGCCACAACTCGGCTTGCAACAGCGCCATTTCCCCAAAAAAACCACTCTTCTCTATTTTCTGCTATCTTTGATTGGTATTTATGCGCGTTTCACCATCGTTGGATTCTGACGACCAGTGGCAAATTGCGCTTCGCAATCAGATCGAAGAGATTGCACGGCGAAACAGTGGCCATAAGAAGTATGCGCAGGTTGAGGATCGAACCAAGGTATCGTTTAAGTAATTACTGCACGAGAGAGTTTACCCGATTTTCGCACAGGCGAGAACGAACTGCTGGCCAGTCTTTTCGGATATCTAGAGAATTTTGTCGATACAGTCAGTAGCCCCACTTTGCGGCCTTTCCTTCAGAAACATTGTGATCTAGTCCGGAACTGTGCCATTGCTTCTTTCTTAACCAATTGTATGGCATGCATGTATGTCTTATTTGATAAACAAATGCACGGTAATCCAGTCTGTGGCGTTACCACGAAATCCTGACGAATTTTTCTTGTGGTGCAAAGTCTAGCACTTCGTCAGAAAGATACATAGCTTGGCAAAGAATACATGCTCGGAAATTTCTGGTCTGGTGGCAGCGTTTTCATTTGCTGTAAGCCGTGCTGCATTTCCTTGCTTCCCTTTGTATTACATTCTTCAGAACCGGAACTCATCGGCAATGCTGCCGGTTAAAAGTAGCTTGCAAACCTAGCATCCAGGGAGCTGGTGCGATCATGCATTTTTGCAGCCAGTTAATTCAGCTGCCTTTTCAGTGAATGATAGTTTGCTGTAGAAATTTTTTGTTATTGTAGCAGGGTTTTATTTTTGATTAAAGTACGATGGTTTTGTAAATAAGAAAAGCATGTTTAGTGCCAGTAGCAAGTCTTGTATGTCTCCTAAAATTACAAGTCCTTTAGGTTTTAAGTTTCTCGAATTATAAATTTTCGAGCCCAAACTTCACGTGTCCATACATAAGATCATTTGCCTACCCAAGTGTTCAGTTTAAAATCTTTGAAACGCACTAGAGCGCAGAAGATCCTCTTGAAATTTCAACCCCTAGCTTTGCTAACTCCGAAGTTAGTGCTTTCCCCACCAAAACTTTCATGTTTCATACGTGAAATGCAGGTCCGCATGAAAACTGATATTACGTCGGGGGATCACACTTGGTTGGGGGACACACTGACGAAATCCTATCAGTTAAGCTTGCTTGGTTAGTGAGTTGAAATGCCCCGACAGAAGAACACCGACATACATGCATGCATACACACGGACCATACGCCATGAGTTGTCATAATGTGCGCTTTTGCTGACTGTTTGAGCGCTTAAGCAGTGCACTCGAAAACGCATAAAAATCGCCGCTAGATTTATCTACTTGGGTTTTAGTAAAATTCTGATCATAGCTGTTGTTAATCTTGGCAATGCAGCATACGTGCTTATCACGTAAGTATGCTGATAATTCAGTTTTTTGAAAATGATCGAGTTCTACCAATTGTTTTGCTACCGTTTTGTTCAGGAAATGGACGATATTGTGATTCGATTGCGAGAGCTGTACAGCACGAATCGCACTGAGGCAGCACGGCTGCACGTGCAAGCGCTATCCATACTTGACGAGACCGATCGCCTGATTGCAGCAACGATGCTTGATGCGACACATATAAAGCCGTACATGAACGCTATTGGGAATGCCCGTAAAAATTGCCAAAATAGCAATAAAATTATGCCCGAGAAAACTGTAAGTACAGTTCACTAGTTATCTGTTCTACATCTGGAGCATCCGAGTTGAGGTAGTCAATAAACTTAGAGCAGTGAGCAAAATTTTGTACCGCAACTCGAGTGCTTTGTAAAGAACGCTGGGAGAGC